AACCCGGCGTAAGAACTCCACAATGAATGAATGGAGAGGGAAGCGAAGCCCAGCAGTCAGAGTGTCGAGGTGCACTAGCACGTGCCCCGGTCGGTGCCTCATCGGGTGCCAAATGAATCCAGCATAGTATTCCCTTGGTGGGGGCAATAACTGGCTAAGTTGCCGTTCGATATCTTCTGGGAGGCGTTGTTTTTGTTTGCGGATACGAGTGAAGTGTAGGGGAATGCGGGGTGGCCGCTCGGGCATCCCCTTGTTATAGACCTGGACGTCATCACCTGATAGGCATCCATCATCTTGTGGCTGTTCGGTGTGTTTGTCTGCCTGAGGATTGGCGGGTTTAGGTATTTGGGAAGAAGAGCCTTCGGCCTTGTTACCAGCGGATGTTTTACTTGTGCGAATCAACGACATCTCTTCAGATTCTGAGCTAGAGGGGTAATACATAAAAACACTGGAGAAATTCTGGGAATTCTAGAAAGAGAAAGCTTGAAAGTACGCAAGAGAATTCTGGGAATTCTAGAGAGAGAAAGCTTTAAAGAAAAGTGAGAAAAAAGCAGGAGAAATTAGGGGAAGCACTTCTCTATAAATAGGGAAAGTGCCGCACAAATCCCTAATCCATGAGCAACATGTGGCATTAAGTGGTTACGATTAATCTAGGGCATTTATGGTTCTTTTTTGTGCACGTACCCCGAACGGGCTTACAGAGGATTAGTAAAGATCACTGGGACTTGCTGGTTAGAAAAACTGCCAAGTCCTAAAAATTAATCTGAAGCCCGAACGGCTACCAACATACGAAGAAGCCCAAGTGCGAAGAAAACCAAGAAAATGGCTAAGTCCTAAGAATTGATCTGAAGCCCGACCGGCCATCAACGTTGTAAAAGATTATCTGAAACCAGAATATGGTCCTAAGAATTGATCTGAAGCCCGACCGGCCATCAACGTTGTAAAAGATTATCTGAGACCAGAATGTGCTAAGTCCTAGAAAATGATCTGAAGCCCGAACGGCTGAGTCCCAGAAAGAAGGGGATTTTTCCTTGATAAATTAACAGAACCCTCCAATGCCCGAACGGCATTAGGAGTATTAAGTAAAAAATAAAGTCAGAAAATTGTTTGTCCTACAAAACGGGCCGAATCCCGAGTGGTGAGCAAACATTCAATAAACGCAAAAAAGACAGTATGAGGTGTTTTGTGCAAAATAAAAGATTTGTATTCATCGGTTCTACTGACCGGGAAGTACAAGCTACTTGAAGAAAAGAGAATTACAACGATTAATTAAAAAGTAAACATATAGATTATTGGCCAGGGGCCATTTCCTCTCCATCTTCATCCTCGTCTTCATCATCATCAGACGGGGGTTCAGGCTCTCTCCCAGCAGCCCGATCAGCTTCCCGTTACTGATCTCGCTGAAATTTCTCAAATTGAGCTTGTGAAATGTCATCCTGGGGAAGATCAGAAGCCTGAACCGGCCTCCCAAGATTGTTTTGAAGTTGAGCGACAAAGGGACGCAGCAGGACCTGGCCGATCTTGGCATAAAGATCTGTAACGATGGAGTCATTCCATTTCTTGGCCTCAGGATCCTTGTCCAAAAGAGCCACCCCTGCCGAGAGCCGACCAGCACCTTTAGGAAAACCCTTCAGGTACGCTCCAAAGGTGAACGGGATTTGCGCCTTGCATGATCGTCCTTGATGATGGAAAATTCATCAGAGGATTTAAATGTTTCCCGGACAGCGGATAGATCCACATTCACTTCATAGGGGCCGTCCGGGATGCTGGAAGGCATCTCCTCAAATTTGATCTGTGCGGTCTCGGCAGCAATGACCTTTGCTTGGGAAGCAGCAAGTTGGACCCGAAGGGTACCAAGCTCAGCATCCAGCCTTTGTTTTTCCTCCGCAAAAGCCTTCTGTTCGGCTTCCAGGGAGGTAATGGCGGCAGCAGCGGTTTGCTCAGCAGAAGATTGAGCAACAATTAGTTCCCGTTCCTTGGCCAGACGGGCTTCCCGCATTTGCAGGGTGTACAAACCCATCTATAAAGCACCGTTCGAGAGTTAGTACTGATTACAGAGTAAAATAAAAACAGAGTGCAAAAGATAATATACCTTCAGAGCAGTCAAGGCCAGGCATTCTTCAGATTGCTCGATCGGCAACTGGGGAAGGGAGAAATTGTTGAACCAGGAGGATGTTGACCAGATCTGGCTGGCGGTAGAACCATCCCTTTCTAACACCTCGTGAACAGGATCCGATAAAGAGATCCGCTCGACCTGACCAGTGATATGGTCAGTATGAGTCCCACCTACGTTCGAGGGTTCCCCCTGAACGGAGTCGAAGTGTTGGGAGAACTGATGTAGTTGATCAGAACCAAAGCGGTCATCGATCATCATGGCATCATAATGATCCTAACCGGAGAATTGCTGAATAGGCTCCGGTTGTTGAACGGTCGGTGTCGGTTCGGATTGAGGAGCAAAAGTGGTGGGTGAATCAACTTTCAGATTCCTCTTCATCTTCTTCTTCCTTTTCCCGATCCCACCGGCAAGGAGCACACAACTGTCATCCATAGTAGCGTCTGGATTGGGAGCTGAAAAATGACAAAGGGAAATGTTAGTACCGAGCGGCCTTTAGCATGAGAGAAATTAGTAATAAGAAGGGAACGTTTCTCGCACGGGAAGGACCGCCCGGACTATGGCACTTGATTCTCAAAACAAGTAAACCCAAGAGAACGGGCAGTACCTATCCCGGTTTTAACCAGCCGATCGGGAGTCAAGTAGGTCATGATATCACAACACTTGTCCTTCTCCACAGCAAGAACGTCCTTATAAATTTCTTCAGTGAGAACTGGGTCGGGAGTCTTGCGGGGAAAGGCGTTCCATTTATGAGGGATCAACCCGTCCGGGATATACACGAAGAAAAATCTATCTTTCCATCCCTTGATCGAGGTTGGATTGCCTTTGAATAAGATGTGGCCCGTTCGGGAACTAGCAGCTAGGTACCCGTGAGTTTATTGAGGGGCTACTTTGAAAAATTGATGAAATAAATCTAAGGTCGGCGAAGCACCGACATCTTTACAACGACAGATGAAGCCCGCCATTGCCCGATAGGAGTTCGGCATGACTTGGGCAGGTACAATTTCATAAAAATTAAAAAATGAAATAAAAAAGGGGTGTAACGGGAATCTAAGCCCAGCCCTCACTGAATTGAAGTGGACCACGGTCATCCCAGGGGCGTGACGTAGGGGATGAAGCCCAGCGTGCAATCGAAAGTCCACTGGGTCTGGGATTAGGGCCGGGATTTCGGCCCTATTATTGGCGGTCAATTTCTGCCGTCTTGCCCTAATTAAACCTAAGTCGAGGGAATGACGGGGAACATCTTTTGGCCGTCCAGCCGCCATTAAGGCCATTTCGTCCTCAGATTTTGTGCCATCAGAACTTTCACCAGAGGAAGATGAAGTGCTAGGAAGGTCCTCCGCCTCAGCCCTGGTATTTGTCGCCGTTTCAGTAGAATCACCGGCGAATGGGACTGTGATGACGTCCACAATAGCAGCGTCACGGTCATCTCCATGGGAGGCCATCTCCGAATCAGAAGAATGCTGTTTGGGACTCATCTCGGTCGAGCCAGAGATGAAGATAAGGAACAGAGGGAGGAAAGGTACCTGAGTGATGGAAGCTGGGAGAAAATTACAGGGGAATCAACAAGGCGCAGAGAATTGCAGAATCGAAACCCGGATTTGAGAAGTTAAAGGCTAATTTATAACCTTGAAACCGCCGTGTCAAAAACCAATCAGGGAGCGACACATCACAAGAAGCATTTAAGCTAAACGCGTGTCTAATGAAAAGACTAAACAACGGTTACCATGATAAATATGGGGAAATGAAGCGGCATCCGTCAAATCAAAGCATGGGGAACTGATTACTTCTGTACCCCGATCGCCATTCGGCGGATTGCAACATTGGTATTCATACTTCCTAATGCACTCATTGTTGTTCGAGACATCGGAAGTGGGGGACTTGTGTTGGGATATTGACCTAGAGGCCCAATACCCGGATCAAGAAGGCCAAAGATACCCGGACCAAGCAACGGGCCCATCACTCTATGATGTCATAATCAAGGTAGAATTAATGCCGAACGAGATTCGGCCCAAATAAGGGTTGGCCCAGTAAGAAGACATACCGAACGGAGTTCAGACTATATATTATACTTGGGCCAATTTGACAACATCTTCAACATAGCCCAACATCCCGTTCGAGCAACGGCCAACCGGCAAGTGGCCAGGTGCAATTAATGCCAGATTGTGACATCAGCAAGTGGAAACATGGGTGACCAAGTCGGTGGAACAACGGCCAATCAGCATAGGGCAGCCCATGCTCTCCATTAGTATAAATAGAAGGTTTTAAGTCATTGTAAGGGTTAGCATTTCAATACTCAGGCTCTTGAATAGCATCATTGCTCTTATTTCTTGTATTAAAGTATTGTTTCCGACCCACCGACCGGGAAATTCCTTGTAATCAGACTGGTTAGTTAATACAAGTGAGCTTTCGAGTATTAGTGAGTTCATATTTTATATTTTGTTTATACACCTTGATTCTATGCCATTCCTGATATATCCAAAGTTCGTGTTGGGCTTTCGGATCTACGGGATTTACCCTCAACAGGGCTGAAGTGAAATCTAATTTTTACTTTGATTTTCAGGTAGATGAAGGTGTACTAAGTTGCTTTTTCTGGAGATATGGCCAAATGAGATCGGATTATGAGGATTGGTGATTTAGTTGTGCATGATACAACTTACAGGACTAACAAATATGACATGATTTGTGGTCCGTTTGTTGGTATGAATCATCACTGTAAGAATATTATGTTTGGTTGTGGCTTTATTGAACGAAAAGGTGGAGTCTTTTGTTTGGTTATTTCATACTTTTTTGAAATCTATGGGCAGTAAACACCCTATCACATTGATAGTCCCTGATCTAACAATCAAACAATCGTAACAGTGAAGAAGAAGCAAATAGATAGATATGAAGATGATAAAAGAATCTGGTATACCGTATGAATGGCCGCTGCTCTCCCTCGAGAAGGAGAGCAGCGTAAAACCTAATCTCTCTATCTCGCATCTATGCTCTCCGCCTTCAAAACCTTGGGTTTCCCTAAGTTAGCCTCCTTTTATAGGAGAAGGTGGCTAACTTATGGATAACAAAGAAGCTAATGGGCTGATACACATTTGTGACTCATATTACACGTTTAACTAATAACTACACAAATACAAAGATATTAAATTAGATTGGACACCATAAAAATATTTCCAACAATCTCCCCCTTGGTGTTCAATCGTGTTTAATCAGCATTGCAGCGCAGATATCTTTGTCTTTGTTGTTATTCAGCTTCCTTTGTCTTTGAACTTGACTTCTTGAGAAGGCTTTATGAAGAAATCCTTGCAATCTCCCATTTGATGTCTTCTTTTCAATTTAATCTTTGATGCCGGGAGTTGAGGAATCTTTTGCTTGTAATCTTTGACTTCCAGAAGCAGCTCTTGATCACCTTGAATGAAGTCCGGTGGCGCCTCTAGAATGAATGTTCTGTTGATTTGAAGGCGCGCACGGGATATGAGGAAGGTGTTCGGGATCATGAAGAAAGCAAATATGAGACCGAACCCCAAGAAGTGTGCCTTTGCAGTCCGGGGAGGCAAATTCTTTAGGTACATGATGAGCGAACGGGGCATTGAGCCGAACCCTGAAAAAGTAAAAGCAATCATGGACATGGAGGCACCCAGGTCACAAAATACAATACGGAGAAAAAAAAGATGAAGAGTGAGAATCTCCCACTTCTCACTATTTTCCGGTGAGAGCCTTGTGAACTCAGCCGTGAGCGTGGAATTCCAGCCACACCCACACCGCAGGCTCCCCAACCATCTTTACATTTCTTCTATCCTCCCCCAGTGGGAATGAGAATTCCCACATAATAGACATCCCCATTCCAGGTATCAAGCATGGAGATACTTGAGACTTAGAACCATCAGAAGTGGTAATCATCCCAGACCTCACTACTCACGCAAACCACAACCTTATAGACCTAACTTCTACCCAGATTTTAAACAACGGGGATGGCCGGAACATTACACGACTTCCGCCAGGATTCACTATAGAAATTCTAGCAGAAATAATTTCTGGCAGGCACACAAGGTACTGGTACAACAGGAAAGGAAAATGGCCTCATCCGTGCGACCCCTAACTCGTCAATCAGAACACGACAACACTGGGGACCTAGACGGGGCTTGGTACACAGTCAAACGTAGAAATCGGTGATATTCCTCCCACCAGCGTAATCCCTCCGACTTTGAATACAGTAACACTAATCACTTCTACTTGTTAGATCTGGATGATGAATACCCTGAGTATCCCCCTACCATACGCTTTTGACCAAGAAAAGGAGAACGATATTCACTCCTTCAGACATCCCAATACTTTTCATAGGAATGGAGGTGAAACCAAAAGAAGTTGGAACGCCTCACTAAGAGGTCGCCTGCCGCCGGTGAGGGATGGCCGTAATCATTTCCAGGGCCATCAAAATTGGTTGTCAATTTGGAATCTAATCTCTACACACGACGGTGGAAATTTCAGCCGTAAACAGACCCAGAGACCGGCGGTCTCTTCACGTACTATTGAGCAAGAAATCATGGAGGGAATCATCTCTCTCGACACACTCGAGACACTTGCTGTTGGGATGGGACCTCAGAGACATGAAGCTGATCGTGGACCTAGTAACCTGCAACAAAAAACCAGAAATCACACATGGGCGGACCTCCTCAAATATGACAGGGCTACAAATGGACTAATTGGTAACATGGAGTTGGCAGCCCCATCTCTACCTGCCACATCCCCCCAAAAAAATCCAGATAGCATCTTATTAATCAAAGACAACAACTCTCGTACACCTTGTGGCAATAGAGAGCATGTGGAAACAACTCCTTCCTCTGAAATTTTCTATTTTTTGGAGAAACTGGATTTGACTCAATTCAAATTGATTCTAGAATTTTTAAATTCGCAGTTAAAAAATGAATTTTTCATTCTCGAATTCCAAAAATCTAGGCTGCACAAAATATCCTTCAATTCCAAATTTGCTCCCCAAATCATCGGCTTTATCTCACAGGAGCTGCTCATTCTAATAACAGACAGAGACGCAAATTTGGACCTCTCATGATTTCTAGTGAACTCACCAAATCTCGAAGATTCTTGAAAATTGCCAAGGAAAATGGGACCTTCATCCTGATTCCGATGGGCCCACATAGGGCATGGTTGCGTGGTTTTATGGTCATTTTTCAAATTTTGTGGGACTGATTAATTTAGTGCAGGAGGAGGCAATGCAATTCGATTACAAGACTTCGGCAGACACTGAGGAAATCACATCAATTTCCAAACTAATATTTAATTTTGAAGTTGAGAGAGCATATGCCGAGAAACAACAATCTCCTTCTACAGAGAAACAACCCAAGGTAGTTCTAAAATGCCTCCTGCCCGATCTTGTCGCAGCTGTAATGAAGGAGATACATGAAGGAATCTGTTCGAGCCATCAAGGGTCGAAGACTCTGGCAAGAAAGATCATCTTGCAAGGATACTACTGGCCGACCATCCAGCAGGACTGTTTTGCGCATACAAGAAAATGCAAAGTCTGCCAACACTACGCACCAGTGCCCGGACGGCCGGCAAGTTTTATACACCAATGACGACAGCACTACCGCTTGCTAGGTGGGGGATCGACTTGCTAGGGCCCCTACCTACAGCACAGGCGGGGAAGAAGTACATTATAGTCGGAATTGATTACTTCACCAAGTGGCTGGAGTCCGAACCGCTGGCTAGCATCACCGAATTCCAGTGCCAGAAGTTCGTCTGGCAGAATATCATTTGCCGGTTCGGCCTCCCCGAATAGATTGTTAATGATAATGGCCGGCAATTCATGGGAAAGGGCTTAGAATAGTATTTAGCCAAGTGGGGAATCAAGCAATCCAAGGCATCAGTGGCCTACCCCCAAGCGAACGGCCAGGTGGAAAATATGAATAGGACAATCATGGACAGGATAAAGAAGAAACTTGAAGAATGCTCCTCCTCATGGCCCAACCAGTTAAATTACATCTTATGGACTTACCGAACGACTCCAAGGATAGCTACGGGGGAAACGTCGTTCGCTCTATCATATGGGTTTCAGGCCAAAGTCCCAACTGAAGTCCTGGTACCTACACATCGGACGATCCATTTTAATCCCGAACGCAATGAAGATACCCTACAGGCCGAATTGCATTTCATCGAGAGATGGAGGGATCTGGCTGCAAGAAGGATTGAGGAATACCAGAGGGCCACCCGGAGATATTTCGATAAGCAAGTCAAAATCTGTTTGATCGAAGTGGAGATTTTGTCCTCACGAAAAGAGAAAAGAGCAAACCACTCAAGAGCGGGAAATTGGCCAAGAATTGGGAAGGCCCATACCAAGTTTGGAAGAACTACGCTTCAGGGACGTTCGACCTCAAAACTACAGAAGGCCGTTCGGTGGGTACCTAGAATGTTGAGCACCTGAGAAAGTTCTACCAATAAAAATGGTTGTTGCCGCCTCTTGAAAAAAAGGACGTTTGGCCAGTTATTTTTTACTACTTATTTTATAGACTAGTGATGGAGTATATGGGTTCAGACCCCATAACCCACATACTCAGAAGACTAAGAGGAAGCGCAGCTGTCACCCAATGGGTCCTCCTTTGGCCAGGTGGCCCTCCATCAGCCGTAGAAGAGTCGATCCAGAACACGGTCCAGAAACCAAGGAGAAGAATTGTCCTCCGTCGGCCAGTGCCCCCGTCGGCCAGTGCCTCCATCGGCCGGTGCCCCCGTCGGCCAGTGCCTCCGTCGGCCGATGCCCCCGTCGGCCAGTGCCTCCGTCGGCCGGTGCCCTCGTCGGCCAGTGCCTCCGTCGGCCGGTGCCTCCGTCATCCGACGCCCCCGTCGGCCAAGCAACAGTCAGCTCAGAATATGGCCCACGCAGCAATCAGCTCGGATGGTCCTCCGTCGGGCGGTGCCTCCATCGGCCAGGCGCTTCCTTCGGCCGAACCTCTTTCGGCCACAGAGAACTCCCAGAACCGGATTTCATACTTAGTTATTTTTACACTCTTTGTACTCGGGCCAGTAGTGGCCCAATTGTAAATGGGCCTCCCAAGCCCAAGACTTGGGAGCCCGGCCCTAATTTCCTCTATAAATACTCCCTTTGGGAACCATGTAAAGGGTTCACAATTCATTAATACAAAGCAAATATACTACTTCTCTCTCTAGCTCTCACTTCTCTCTAGACTTATAGTCTACCATTTTGTGCTCTCGTTGAGAGCTAGAACAATCAAGTTAGCCTCCTTCGTCGCTACCAAGCACAGCTAACTGACAATGGGAAGAACTAAGTCAAACCGCAACCTAATCGGCAAGGCCATCCCCGAGGCCCAAGAGAACCAAGAACACGAGGAGGACGCCACGACCGATAAGGCCGCCGAGGGGGATTGTTTCCAGGAAGCCATCGACCTCGCAGGAGACCTGCGCAACAAGCTCAACGGCGGCGGCCCTGACGCCCGCCTCGGCTTGGACAAGAAGCGTGCGGAGAAAGGCGACAATGCCTCGGCGCAACCGGCCTCTCTTGTTGTTGACCCTCAGCTTCAGGCCGCGCTCTCGGCCATCATCGCCAGCCTGGCCCAAAACCCCACCGTCCTCAGTGCACTCATGCCAAAGACTGGGGAGAACACTACACCGCCTCCTCAGCCCCAGCCGTTGGCCATCAAGCTAGGTAACGACGAAGGGGTGGTGCCCCAGGACACGTCGTCATCCCTCCCACCCTGCTTCCCCACTTCGAGCTGGACCGGCCCCAACGCATGGAAAAACCTCAGCCTTTAATAGGTTAGGTGACACGCGCCGTCGGCCTGCTTCGGAGAGGATGGCGGGACGGATTGGTGAACGTTAGCCTGGCTCACCAAGGGAAAGCTTGGGGTCTGTATCCTAGACAGCGGATCGGCCTCGCCTGGACAAAGGCAAGGGTAAGCTGCACGAGGGTGACGCACGCCACCAAATCAACACGGCTCACGCAGCCCGCCAACAGACGCAGGGCGCCACCATGGCCTCCAAAGACCCCCGGGACGAGGTGATCGCCCAACTGGAGCGAAGACTCGCCCAGATGGAGGCCAAACAGCTGGCCGCCACCCCCATGGGCAACTCATCCAGGGATCCCGACTTCAACGCCCTCCTACACAAGGTCAGCATCCTTGAGAGGGAGTTGGCCGAAGGACGAGGAGATCCCATCGTCCAAATCAGGACGAGGACTCCCTTCACTTCCAGGGTACTCTCGGCCCCTATCACCGAGAAGTACAGGGGAAATGCCATCAAGCCATATGACGGCCGCTCCGACCCCTAGGAACATTTCAGCCGCTATCAGAACAACATGCTGATGGTGAACGCGTCGGATGAATACCTCTGTCATTGGTTCCTTTCCACTCTTGAAGGACCAGCGTACGAGTGGTTCAACGCGCTCCCCGAAGGAAGCATAGACTCGTGGCAGGATCTTGCCCAACGCTTCCTCACCCACTTCGCCGGAAGGAAGCGTGTGAAGAAACATTTCTCCCATCTCCTCTCCATCAAACAGCAACACGATGACTCACTCCGGTCTTTCATCGACCGATGGACGAAGGAGACAGACGAGGTCGAAGGTGCCGATGAGCGCACCCTCTTCATCCTCTTCCAAGGCGTTCTCCGCAGCAGCCCTTACGCGAGGAGCCTAATCACTGACCCGTCGGGGTCATACACCAAGGCACTCCAGCGAGGGAGCTTGTACGCTGACGCCGATGAGCTCCACTCCTGCAAGAAGGATGGAGACCAGCCATTAAAGAAGACAAACAATGCGTCGGCTCCAAGCGCATCCTCGGCCAGAGGCCATGCCCGCCAGAACCGGAAGGAGCACCCATGGCAGCCAAGGATGGACGTCCCAAGGACTCCACTCACGCACTCGGTGGATACCATCTTCGACTATGCGGAGGAGCAAGGTCTCATCTCTAGAGATCCCCGGTCGGCCATAGAAGTCTACGCCGTCCACCAGGGTGGCACTTATTGTCGTTACCACAAGAACACCTCCCATAATACAGACGACTGCATCGCCCTGAAGAAAGCCATTGAGCGCTTAATTCAACGGGGTGAACTCCACCAATTTGTCAAAGTTACCCCAAGGAACTCCACCGACAATCAGGAAGGGGACACCTCGATGAAGAAGAATGAAATTGGAGACACCTCGACTTCGAGGAGCCCCAGCCGAAGAAGCGTCACGTCCGCTGACTGTGTCCTTCTTCGAAGGGACGCACGGCCGACAAACGGCTTATCCCTCAAAATACGAAGGGCCCTACATCTCGGTGAAGCTCTACCAACATTCCGAAGAGGGTGCAGACGACAGAGCCCCCACCCCAAGGTGAGAAACCCATTGAGAAGCTAACTCTTGTATGGGTTGTTCAGAAGGTTACCCCCCTCGGCCTCGAGCCACTGACCCTAATAAAAGCCGTTGCCATAAACAACGCACATATTGTGTTCCGCTTATTTCTTGTAAAATTTAAGTAAAGGATGCCACACAACAAAGCACGTCGCTTCGGCCCCTTCGAGCGAAACGCTCAAGTATGGCCGATGACGCCACACAACAAAGAACGTCGTTTCGACCCCTTAGAGCGAAACACTCAGGTATGGCCGACAACGTCCTAGGACGAGGGGCCCACAAACGGCCCCATGTCTTGAAACGGGAAGCTCATCGCGTCGTCCTCGCGCTAAATCGCATTACAACAGGCCTGAAAGAATGGCTGAGGTTACAAAATCCCCACACTTGGGGTTGGGAAACGGCAGCCGTCGGTAACCGACCAAAAGCCTAGCCCACGCCGTAAATAAATGACGGGACCCCCCAAGATCAAGGGACGATCCAGCGCCAGAGGCCAGACAGTTGCCCTCCTGGACTCCCTATCGGCCGAGGGAATAGCAACCCCCTCGGTCGAGCCTGAAAGAAGGACCTCCACTCCTCGCTCATAGCAGTAGAGGAAGAAATAAAAGAGGGACAGTCGAGGACCGTGCACTCGCCGGCCTCGACGAAATCCCAACAAATAAAAGAGGGACGGCCGAGGACCGTGCACTCTCCGACCTCGAGCGAAATCCCCACAAATAAAAGAGGGACAGCCGAGGACCGTGCGCTCGCCGGCCTCGAGCGGAATCCCCACAAATCAAAAGAGGGAAGCCGAGGACCGCGCACTCGCCGGCCTCGAGTCATAAAAAATAAAATCCCCACAAATCAAGCCACATATTTGGCTAAGTATCTATCAGGCAAATACTATGCATTATGGACGAGACAAGACCATACATGCGAATCAGACGAGCGCCAACGCCGTCCCTGATCTTCAGACAGACGCGACGCCTTGTCCTTAAGAAAAGGACCAGCTTCATCAGTGCCATCGTCCTCAGATCACGGCAGACCCCTCGGTCTCAACGTGATCCTTCATCTCAAGACCGGCCTCCTCAGCGCCGAGCGTCTTGAGCTAGCGAGCGGGCTCGCCATTCCCTTCCTGGATGGAGACCCTTGCATTCAAATAACGAGCGGCTTCATCAGCGCCGTCGTCCTCAGATCATGGCAGACCCCTCGGTCTCAACGTGATCCTTCATCTCAAGACCAGCTTCCTCAGCGCCGAGCATCTTGGGCTAGCGAGCGGGCTCGCCATTCCCTTCCTGGATGGCGACCCTCGCCTTCATACGACGAGCGGCTTCATCAGCACCATCGTCCTCAGATCACGGCAGACCCCTCGGTCTCAACGTGATCCTTCATCCTAAGACCGGCTTCCTCAGCGCCGAGCATCTTCGCCTAGCGAGCGGGCTCACCATTCCCTTCCTGGATGGCGACCCTTGCCTTCATACACCGAGCGGGCTTCATCAGCGCCATCGTCTTCACATCATGACCGGCCCCTCGGCCAAGGCGTGATTATCTATCTCAAGACCGGCTTCCTCAGCGCCGAGCATCTTGAGCTAGCGAGCGGGCTTGCCATTCCCTTCCTGGATGGCGACCCTCGCCTTCATACGACGAACAAGTTCATCAACGCCATCATCATCAAGGGACGTGCGTCCAACGCCGCCCTTCATCTTCAAGCCAGGGTCAGAGCCTGGTCCTTCATATGATGGGCGGCTTCATCAACGCCGTCGTCATCAAAGGACGTGCATCCAACGTCGTCTTTCATATGATGAACGGCTTCATCAACGCCTTCATCATCAAGGGACGTGCGTCCAGCGCCACCCTTCATCTTCAAGCCAGGGTCAGAACACGGTCCTTCATATGACAAACGGCTTCATCAACGCCGTCGTCATCAAAGGACGCGCATCCAGTATCGTCTCTCATATGACAAACGACTTCACCAGCGCCGTTGTCATAAGGGCACGAGCGTTCATTGTCCTCAAAAGGAACGGCCCCTCGGCCTCAGCATGATCATCTATCTCAAGACTGGCATCCTCAGTGCCAAGAGCCTTGAGCTTACATGAAGAACGGCTTCATCAATGCCTAGTTATCATTTATTTAGACCAACGTCATCATCGCCGTCATCCTCAAACCACGCCCGGTCCCTCGGCCTCGGCGTGATTATTTATCTCAAGGTCGGCCTCCTCAGCGCCGAGAGCCTTGAGTTTACACGGCGAAGTGCTTCATCAACGCCTTCACCATCAAGGGACGTGCGTCCAATGCCGTCCTCCTCTTTAGACCGGCGTCAAAGCCTGATCCTTCATATGACGTACGGCTTCATCAACGCTGTCGTTATCAAAGGACGTGCGTCCAACGTCGTCTTCCATGTGACAAATGGCTTCACCAGCGCCGTCGTCATAAGGGGACGGGCATCCAACGCCGTCCTTCATCTTCAGGCATCCAACACCATCCTTCATCAAAGGACGGGCTTCATCAACGTCGTCCTTCATCTTCAGACCGGCGTCAAAGTCTGGTCCTTCATATGACGTACGGCTTCATCGACGCCATCATCATCAAGGGACGTGCGTCCAGCGCCGCCCTTCATCTTCAAGCCAGGGTCAGAGCCTGGTCCTTCATATGATGGGCAGCTTCATCGACGTTGTCGTCATCAAAGGACGTGCGTCCAATGTCGTCTATCATATGATGAACGACTTCACCAGCACCATCGTCATCAGGGGACGAGCGCCCAACGCCGTCCCTCATCTTCAGACGAGCGCCCAGCGTCGTCCCTCATCTTGAGACGAGCGCCCAACGCCGTCCCTCATCTTCAGGCGAGC